CAGTCAGTTTGGAGGCTGTGCCTCTACATATTAGCAAATAACTTCCATCAATATCTGTAATGCCTGCGACTGGTATGAATGAGACCCATCAAAATATGAAATTAGTTCCACTAAATCAGTATCTACCGCATATGTAAGAAAGAATAAGAAGAATATCATTTAACTTAGATAACTAGTCATCAACTTTATAAAAAACCTTTTAAAAATGAAATAAATATCATAGAAAACTCCTTAATGGGGAAAAACTGAACTACTATTTGAATTCAGCATGAAAAATTCACCTAGAATCTATTATTTTCATTCTTGTGAAAGAAAATTTGAAAAATGTTATTACTATTATTATTATTGTTATTATTATTGTTGTTGTTGTTATTATTATTATTATTATTATTATTAGTAGTAGTAGTAGTAGTAGTAGTAGTAGTAGTAGTAGTAGTAGTAGTAGTAGTAGTAGTAGTAGTAGTATCAGTAGTAGCAATAACAGCAGGTTTCCCGTGATATTTAATTTTCTGTCATCTCTCGACTGTCCGTGGTCCAATTCCTTTTCTCGTTCAGCGACTCCCCCCCTCCTCCCCTGGCGAAATGAGCGCTGAATTCCGCTCAATTCCACTCGCTCCTTGTTGGTCCCACGTTCTTTGCTCTTCCTCGCTTCGTGTTGTTTGGTACTCCTGGAAATAATTTAGTGTAGTTGTGTTGCTGATTGTATGACACTAAATGTTGAAAATTCGTCGTAAGAACGATCACTACATCAGTTTCAATTCCGTCCCCTATGTCATTTGCTGGCTGCTCAAATTTTTCCCGAAAAATCTGAGAGCAATTACTCCAGTGGTTATTTTTTGTGAAAAATTCATACACATGTGGCGTCTTTGCCGGGGCAATAAATCACAGACGTGAACGGTTTGTAAATATTAAGTATTTATTTGAAAAAAATGCTCCGACACCTGAATACTATGTACAATATTTACAAATAACAATATTGACCCGTTACTAGAAGGAATGTTCCCTGGTTACCACCACCGCTGGCCTGATAATTAAATATGATATTCGGTGTGATGTACCAGTAGCCTACGTGAGCATACAAGCGAGTATGCCGCACCTCCCGTCTCGACGTAGAACGCCGGCTTCAGTTCCCTGCCTCAGTAGCCTATGCATTAAAATGCAGCGCCGCGCACAACCCACACGACTTCCTACCGACGCGCACAAGAATCAGAAAAAAGAGTTTAGGTCCGGGCTCCGTTTATATACCTTCTGGACCGGCTGACAGAACTGCGTCATCTCGCTGTTTCCGCCGACGCGTTTCCGCCGCCGGCCTGCCTACGGGGTTCCTAAGTTTGCCACCCACAGCACCCCTTCCCTTCCGCTCCCAGGTTTGCCTTTGTTCAGCTCAGCGTCTCTTCCGCCAGCGTAGTCCATGATCATGAAATGCTCGTGTCTGATATTTGGTACGTTTGTAGAAGGCGACTGATATGACGCCACACACACATGCATACATTCACTTCGTATAATAGATAGGGTAAGAAGGTAAAAGCACCAGGAGCAGTTAAAAATGATTCCTACTTTTATTTCAACGTTACTTTCTTTACCTACAGTACCAAGTTCATTACGTGTAACTGAACGGGATATCATCATACGTCTTTCTGAATAAATGCCTAGCCCAAAAAGACCAAGTCTTAGTGTACTTTAATTTTGTTTCCAAACTTTATTTGTTTTCCATTAGTAGTCGCTTAAAAATTATACAGTTTTGGTAGTGATCAGATACTCGACTAAGTAATATGGCCAATTGATGTTCTACCTCATAAATGTTGATTCCTATAAATCTGAAAAAGTACCCGTTAATATCATTTTATTTCAACGCCAATATTATTAAGCTCATTCTTTAAATATAAGAGCAGTGAAAAAATAATTTACTTTCGTTGTACGCCTCACCAATAGAACGCATGAGCTCTACATACTGGAAGTTTTAATGAAGTGGGAAGCAACCATATTTTTCAAATGTTTCAGCGATCGCAACTAGTTTCGTTCCCCTATTGTTTATTTATTTATTGATCCAGTACCATTGTATATTTCTTTATTTATCAAAAAACAGGTAATACATTTGTTTAAGATCAGAGCAAGGTTTTTGTGCTTTAGGATCTTTGTCCTAACTGTTATACATATTAAATTGAATTATGAATACATATAGAAACGGGCGTTTTTGGCAAAAATTGGTGTTAAAATATTCGCTCCATTGTTATAAAAACTACTTGCAGAGGCAACTCAAGTACAGAGTATGGCTATTATCCCATGTGATCTGCGTAAAGCAATCGACATACTACAGAGAATATGGAGTGCGGCTCTTTCAATATCTACATTCTCAACGGAGCTCAAGAAAATGTGCACTGGGAGTAAAGCTACATTTGAATCTGTGATTTGAAAAGGGAAATACGTCATTGTTCCATAGTTCTGAAAAAAATCTTAATAACATCCACAGTTAGCATCTGCGGCACTGTTTCGTGTTTTCCAACTTAACAGTATTTATGTATATGGTATTGTTGGTGTTTACATTCTTATTTCAATCAACAAATAGCAATAATACCAAACATAAAGTCATGTACTCTGACTCATGCGATGGTCAAAACCGCAACATTAAAGTTGTTTTCTCCCTTATGAAATATTTGCAAAATCAGAGTGGTAACACTGAAAATATTGACTTAAATTTCCCTGTACGAGGATACAGTTACATCCTGAATAACCAAAAACATTAGTAGCCACATCTTTTCTCTCAGGGACTGGTATTATATAATTCTTGGCTGCATTCAAACAAACAAGTATTTCTTCACAGAAATGAATCATGAAGACATACTTTCGACAGAAAACTTAGAAAAATATACCACAAACAGAAAAAAGACTGTCGAAGGTGAATCAGTTTATTAGCTGTTAATGAGATGTATCCGAATTGAGAATGCTGAACTATTTGCTATCAAATATAAAACTGCATTCCTGCCAGACATATTTGGAAAAATTAATATCCCAAAGAAAAACGAAATAAGACCTGCTTTAGAAACTTTAGCAATTGTCCTACGATATAGCCTCTGTCTACGATATATGCCTCTTGAAGTTTATACGTCCTGTTCATCACCACTATTATAAAAACGTGAAGTCCGCAAGAGGTACCCTTCAAGAAAAAGCTGCCAGTGATGACGACTGCATCACTGACGTAGAATAAAGGCAATGAACACATGTTTACTTGTATTCCTGGCAATTTTATTGTTGTTTAATGGCATACAATAACACTGGTAACATTTTCTAGAAAAGACGTTTTATTTTGGGCTAATTTGTGTAATGTGATAAAAAAATACCCATAATTCTAAATATTTATTCAAAATACGCGGAAAAAATTATAGACTTTATATAAATAATAAACTTAAACTGTTCAAACCGAAAATTTTCGTTTGATGGAGTTAGTTGGCTTGGCTTTTGAACGCCTGAATTGTGAAATATTTAAAAAAATAATTTCTTTTTTAATTTTTGGAGTTATGAAACAATATAATCGTAGAATAAACATGCGATGATGTGAATTAACATATTATGCATAGTCTTTCTAAATTAAGGATATCCGTATCTATTCATCAGCTATTTCGACTTCAGTCCGTAGCTATGTCAAACGTTCTAGTAGAAACGGAGATATTCATGTGGTATGTTTTTTACTATTTTTAATATCGGTTGTTTTCTTTCCGTTGATTAGACGAATAGCTGAGACAAACTTTCTTGAATGGCAAACCTTGACGTGCCTTCCCTTTTGATAACATGAATGAGAACTTGATAAGCCCATCAATATATGTACTCACGTGCCACAAGGTAACCTAAATATTCACTATCATAGGTTAGCTGTTTTTCTTGGAAAGAGTCACGCCAGGATCATAATGAACACAGCCATAATTAACAAGATTCTTGGGTGTCTTAAAATAGTTCGACCAAGTGGTTTTGAAATGTATGATGTCCTCAGTGCATATTACTCTTGTCGTCAAGCATTCAGGATTTTAGTTGGAGGATAATAATACTAGTTGTTCTTTGTGAGGATCAAAAACTAGTCCATGACTTGTTTATCTTTTACAGTCATTAAAATTTTTAATTAGTAATATAATAGTTTAAGCTGGACAAGTTTCACTTTTATACTGATCTACAGTTTAAAGAATAACAAAGGAAACATATATATCTGAATTATTTTTTACGAAAACAGTAAACTTAATACCCTTTGAAAATCCCCGATTCACTTCCAGGGCGTTAATTTGCTGCGTTGTCGCAGGTGGGCGCGCACGGGGCACCGGCGGGGGGCGCGGGCGCCGCCGCCGCC